CGCTCGCCACCCTCTTCAGCACAGCGTATGAGTTGTCCGTCTGAATATATCATACTAAAATCACGATCGAAACCATAAGTAATCTAGTCAGTTCACTGTATACAACACATGCCCTCGATTCTTTCATTAATTAGCAATTAAGAGTGTTGACGAATGAATCGAACCGTAGCGAATAGACGTTACTTTGATTGATAAAAGGTCATACATACCGAAAATAAATAGGTCAATTCACCCAGAACTGCAGCATCTGCCATAAGAGTAGTAACAAACTTTGCCCACTCTGAAAATTTCACTTTGTTACTTTATGGTCTTTTCTTGAGCCCGAGATATTCATAAGAACAAAGTAAGGTGTTTGTTTGCTAAGCGTTTGAAAGGTTACCCACCAACAGTGAAATTCCACTGCGGTGTAACTTAGAACTCTTACCAACATGCCGGGCAATCAAAATCTTGACCCTTTTAAAGCTACAAATTGAGGCTACTTTCATTGGCACGTTATTTCTTTGATTTCCTAGAATGTTCACTCACGTTTAGATATGACGGTCTCGCAGAGAACAAGTTTCTATCGTTTCGTGGCTTTACAAGAGTCTCCAGGATTTGAAAGAATTACCCGATCTTGAGTGGCTTACAGAAGCCCCTTATAGCAAACTAACACCGCAGTTCAATCATGGAGACTTCAAGGACTTACCCTTTGATGTCTTCGAATTCTCTTTACCCAAGAACTTCCCGAACACCTTCACATATTCGTCCAATGTGCTAGCTGGTTGAAACACTATACGAGCCATGGGTAATCGAGATCGAACTCTCTTCTCCAATGATGTGATGAAGTTCTTGAAAAAGTAGAAACAATTGTGAAACATCAGACAGTTTTTGGACCTTGCTTAGTAATAGTTAGGAAATAAATAAATAAGATATTCGCTTCAGCTCGCTCAGAACGGTCAAATGCTCAAATGGCTGGATTGATAACTATGATTTCCTTTTAGCTCAGAGCACTGGGAACGCTCAAGGCGTCGACGACAAGGATGGATGGATGCAGACTTATGCTGGTTCTCCGATGTTATTTCACTCTCAGCGATATCAGGTTCAATACGTAAGTATCTAAAAATCCACACCTGATTTTGCACCATAAGAAACACCAGCCACTGATAATCGCTATCTTTTCGTGTTGTATCGAGTAGAAGGTAAAGCAAAGACTGTCGTTGACGTGTCGCCAATTCGTCAGCATCCTCGATTATCAGTACACAACTCAGGACTCCTACAAAAACCAATTTTTACCAAGATTCAGAATTTGATAAGTGAACAACCAATGTTGAATTGTTCACATCAGCTCAAATAAAAGTACTGAAATTATACTTGGCATTCTGAAGACCGACCTTGACGTCTTTTGTCATTTGTTAGCATTTGTAGGGTGTTCTTTTCGGATCCAAGCTGAGCTGAAACAATTAAATGCTTGGGCTTAAGGAAAAAACATTCATTCAAATAATTGTTAGTCATCTGACACTACCTACCTACACTAACGATCAGCAATTTCGCGCTGAGCTCAAACTCATCTATGGCATTTTTCACGACGGTTGTGCGTCCGCTTTCTCCTCTGTTGAAAGCTGGCAAGTCCTGATTGGCCCAATTTTTTTTTTGTTCAGGCCTTCCTATGTTATAGGGCTTTGGAAAGTATCGTTAGTCGATTCGCTGCGAGTGGTGAAGGGAATGCTTGCGTGGTGGTCGGTAGAGGAGAAAGCGGACGCACAACCGTCGTGAAAAATGCCATAGATGAGTTTGAGCTCAGCGCGAAATTGCTGATCGTTAGTGTAGGTAGGTAGTGTCAGATGACTAACAATTATTTGAATGAATGTTTTTTCCTTAAGCCCAAGCATTTAATTGTTTCAGCTCAGCTTGGATCCGAAAAGAACACCCTACAAATGCTAACAAATGACAAAGACGTCAAGGTCGGTCTTTAGAATGAAGTTAATAATGTTCAGATCACTTTTTATTTGAGCTGATGTGAACAACTCAACATTGGTTGTTCACTTATCAAATTCTGAATCTTGGTAAAAATTGGTTTTTGTAGAGTTGTGTACTGATAATCGAGGATGCTGACGAATTGGCGACACGTCAACGACAGTCTTTGCTTTACCTTCTACTCGATACAACACGAAAAGATAGCGATTATCAGTGGCTGGTGTTTCTTATGGTGCAAAATCAGGTGTGGATTTTTAGATACTTACGTATTGAACCTGATATCGTTGAGAGTGAAATAACATCGGAGAACCAGCATAAGTCTGCATCCATCCATCCTTGTCGTCGACGCCTTGAGCGTTCCCAGTGCTCTGAGCTAAAAGGAAATCATAGTTATCAATCCAGCCATTTGAGCATTTGACCGTTCTGAGCGAGTTGAAGCGAATATCTATCGTTTCCTTTTCCTCAAAGACTCGAAACGCTCTAAACTCTTGAACGCCGTGAAGAGTATGAAACTTAGCCTAGAAGCTTAATCCCCTGTATACACAGCTTCGGAGAAAGATGAGGAGTTTCAATTTCGAAGGAAGTCAAAACGAGGGATTCAGCTACAATACTATTTATTTATTTATTTATTTATTTATTT